GCGCCGCGAGAGGAGGGGGGGCAGCCGCTCAGCTCCCCGCCGCCTACGCTCACACGCCGGTCGCCCGGTGGGAGGGGGGGTTCCTCTCTGCTTCTTCCCCCTCGCGGCACTTGCAGCTCCGCGTCACCAGAGCTCAGGACACCCGTTCGTCAACGAGGCGAGCCAGGCCAGGCGCGCAAAGAGGGGCCCGGGAGTGGGACGGGAGTGTACCCTCTGTCGCTGGCCGGCGGAAGACTAAACCTTCCCTGCCTTTGCCGGGTCCAGCCCTGGCGGCCGGTCCCATCTACCGGGTCTCGGGCTCGGGCTGTGCGCCACCAGAGCTGGAGCTGGGGTTTCTGCAAGCCTTTGCCTCTCTCTAGTGGCGGCGCTGGCTGCAGAGAGATGAGGTCAAGCCCATTGCTACAGGTTCCTAAACTGAGACCAGGGGTCAAGTGGCTTGTCTGAGGTTATCGGGCTACCCATGAGCAGGGACTACACTCTCTTCCCCTGGGGCACACTGCTTCCCACCCCGCCTCCAACATGCACACAGGCACAAAGCCCCAGCGCTGGGTGACACCTCTATTTCCCTCCTTCCAGGACTATTTCCAGAGCTTTAGGGCACAGTTAGAAACGCTGTCTGAGCCTGTGAGAGCTTTGAAATTCCTCTATGTAGCTGACAGGGTGGGGGTGGGGTGGGGGTGAGGGGATGCAGAGGGTGGTGTTTCCTATGGGTGCTGATCTGGTCTGTGAAAGAGGCCCAGGTGTAACTCTCAAAGCCATGAGGCCACCCACCCTAAGAGGGAGCCACAATCCTCCTCTTTGGCATGCCTTGGTGGAGGAGGTGGGGAATGAGGACACAAAGCAGTGGCCACTGCCAGGATCCTGCCTGCCTGGCCTGGCCTTGTGTGCCTGCGCCCAGAGGGCTGAGGTTGAAGGCAGAGAGCAGGTTGTGAGAGTGTGCGGAGTAGAGATTGTCCCCAAGGCTGTCTATTCGGTCCCATTCATGCATGACCCAAATCAAGGATCCCCCATGAGAGAAAGACAGGCTCTCCTTGGAACTGCAGAATGGATACATTGCAGCGAGAACACAGATTCCGAGGCTCAAGAAGGAGCTACTGAACCAAGGATGAGAGGTGCACAAACTCCCCACTTGCTGCTCTCTCTCCATTCCCTTCCTCCTCCCATCCCCTCAACTTCCTCTCAGCTGCCAGCCTTTTCTTCATGATCCTGTTCTAGAACCATTTATTTGGTGCCTGCTCTCCACCAGACAATGGGGTGCATGCTGAGAGAAAGGATGAATAAGACCATCCCTCTCTTCGTGGAGGGTACAGATAAACAAATGATCACCATATTGTGGTGATTTCCCATGAAGAGGTGGGCATGGGGTGCTCTGAGAGCACAGATGACAGGTGCCCACCTAGCCCTGGAGCGGGAAGGGGGAGTCCAAGGCAGCTTTCTTGATAGGGCGATGAGCAGAACCTTGAAAACGATTAAGAGTTAGTACATCAAACAAGAGTGGAAGGACACTCCTAGCAGAGGGGGACATCATTAGCAAAATCAGGAAGACACGGAGCCGCAAGGCTATGTGAGCAGGGGATTAGCATAAACTCTGAGGGAGTCTTCCAAATAAAGCTGGCAGCAGGGCATTGATCCCCTGCCAAGGAACTTGAATTTATTCTACAGGAATTACCGGTGGGCTTTACTCAAGGGGAAGACACTGTCAGATTTACATGTCCGCTGGATCGCTAAGTCAACAGGAAGAGGGAACACTGGATGGGAGAGGCGCTGCTCTGACATCCCAGGTAAAAGTCCATGGAGGGATGAAGTAAATTACTGGTAGTTAGTTGGTGCCCATCATGCAAATGACAAGCATAATCAAAAGAGCGGGTTCAGGACAGCAGTAGGGATGGGCATGTTGAAGTGCCTGGAAGAGCTCTAAGTGAAGCTGTCCAGCACAAGGGTTTCAAGCTAAAGAGAGCAGATAAAAGCGAATGCCCTTGGGAATCACAACAGTCTCTTTACCATCATACGATAGGCAGGCTTTAAGTCAATCAGTCCCTTCAGTCTTCTTTCCAGAGCTTTCACCTCTCTTCGTGATCCCAGAATTGCCCACCCCATATCTGGGAGCTTCCTCACAATGGGTACCAACGTGTCTTCCTCATGTAGGACTCTATCAGACCTGAGCAGTGGCACTGAGTAAGGGAAACTGCTTTGGTTCCTCAGACTGCCACCATCCACAAATATGTTCTGAACCCCTGTGCCCATAATGGACACTCACAGCCACTAAGAGTGTCATAGAGTTCAATAGGACCTTAGGGGTTATTTATTCCAACCCTGACTGTAGTATACTATATTTTTTTCTATTACAGTTCACATTCAATATTATATTAGTTTCAGGTGTATGGCACAGTAGTTAGACATTTACATAACTTACAAAGTGATCCCCCTGGTAAGTCTTCTACTCACCTGGCACCATACCTAATTATTACAATACTAGAGGCCAGGTGCATGAATTCATGCATGGGTGGGGTCCCTTGGCCTGGCCAGCTATCGAGCCGATCTGGGCCATCACCCAGTCCCAATTGGATCCATTGGTGCAGCGGGCGAAGAGGGGGGCCCGGGTTGGCCCAGGACTGCGGGTGGTTGACCATGCATGGGTGGGGTCCCTTGGCCTGGCCAGCTATCGGGGCCGATCTGGGCCATCACCCAGTCCCAATTGGACCCATTGGTGCAGCAGGTGAGGGGGGGGGGGCGCAGGACTGCGGGTGGTTGACTTGGAAGCGTACTGACCACCAGGGGGCAGCTCCTGAATTGAGCATCTGCCCCCTGGTGGTCAGTGCACATCATAGCTACCGACCAGCCGTCTAGTCATGAAGGTCACTTAGGCTTTTATATATATAGATTATTGACCACATTCCCTATGCTGTACTGCATAGCCCCATGACTATTTTGTAACTGCCAATTTTTACTTCTTAATCCCTTTACTGACACTTCCAGCCCTCCTGGTAGTAGTCCAGGTTGGTTGCCTACCAACATCCATTTCCCTACTTTCTCCTTCTAGTTTCAATACCTGAATTGTTGACAGTGGAAGTGTGGAAGTGTCCTTCCTCTGTGGGTCTGAACTGGTCAAACATTCCAGAGGAGAAGCATCTTTTTTTTAACACCTAGATAGCCCTTAGGTTTGGGGGAAAGTGACCCCATCCTTGGCTCTAGAAAGTAAATCTTAGTTGGGCTAAGCCAACCTTAATAATCTTATTTCTCTTGCCAGTGATTTGTTAAAAATGGACATGTGATCCAGTTCTGGCCAATACAAAATGAGGGAACTGTTGAGAGATTCTGGGAGATTTTTCCTTGCTCTTAAAACCAGTGGTAATTCCTCTACTTTTTTGAGTGTTGTTTTTCTGGCTGTTATGAACTTGAGGTGGGGGTGGGGCCCATGACAGAAACCAGTGGTTAGTTGCAACTGATATTCAGTTTCATAGTCACTAGTGCTTCTCACTAAATATTTCTACCTTCCAGACATATAGTAGAATTGCAATTCTGGGTTCATTAGTGAGTAGGAGGGGAAAGTGACTTAGTACGAACCGGTCGACAAATCATGAGCAGAAATGATGTGTGTTATTTCTGAACCAGAGCATCTAATTGCAACTTCGAGACACTCTAAAGCTCTCATTTTCTTCTGGCATAGTGATCAGCAGTGTTCTACGTGGAAGTGGCTTTGTTAGACTGTAAGTGACGACAGTGAGTAGAGCCCACAGATAATAAAAATAATGCCCCACTATGGACATGTAGCCTGAGAAAAAATATACTTTTTCATCATAAATCCACTAGAATTGGGGTCCGTTATTGCAGCATATCCTACCCCATCCTGACTA